CTATGCCAGTGCCTGGCCATGCCCCCACTCCTGCTGCTGCAGCTTAAGGGCAGGGGGACCCTGACACAGGCTGCTCCGCCCCAGCCAGGCAGACCCCTGCACACAGGTGGGACAGGTGAGGAAAGGCAGAATTAAACCCTCCTCTGTCCCCTGTTGTTTGAGGCTGCTGCTGGGGCTGGCCACATGCCCCACTACTTGAGCGGGGAGGGAGTGGGAAATGCCTGGCAGGGGCTGCTTCCCTTTTCCCTCTCCAGGCACACTCCAGCTGGGTACTGTGCAGGTCCTGGTGGGCATTTAACCCCCTCCCCAATCATACTCAGGCCTGCTGGGGCCTGGCCACACCCTCCCCAGCTCTGTTTCCCTCCAGCCGAAGGCTCACTCTAGCATCCCCCGGCTTGTGGCCTGAGCCATTGCAGGCATGTGCTTGCATATCCAGAATCAAAAGTGAATGTCTATTTTCTTGCAAATCAGTTCAGTCTGTGCAGAGTAGACTAACCTGCAAAGACTGAACTGATTAAGGCTCTGACTTTTTGAACGTCTGTACTTAGCCCAAGGTGCATATTTTGACCAATATTTTGCAAAGAATGGCTAATTAAAAAGAAACTCATAAGCTTATTACTCACTTTATTTTTTGCAGTTCTTTCTGCAGGGGCTGAAATCCAAAAATTTGTTCCTGTAGTTATTTGCTTTACTATCTTAGGTGTGCAGTTTTGGATGTTATGGTCACTGCCTTAACAAGCTGATACAGGAGAGTAAAGCAGAACTGTCATTTTGAAATTACTCATTTGAAAGCTCTTTAAAAAAGAGTTAGAAAACACCAAGACTGTTTTTGTTCCCTTTTCAGTTTTTGAGGAAATATATTGACATATTCTGCTGAGAATGGGATTTATCAGTTGGAGGACATTTATGGGAAATTTGCCCCCCAACAACTCTTCAAGGCACCAGAGGCCTCACAGACATTATTACTCAGTTTAGCATCTGTACCAGTATGAAGCCGTGTCACCCAATATAAAAGGCAAGTCACTTAAAGACTTTCCTTTTTAGGGACTTAGATTTCTTGGAGAATCAGATAATATTACGTTTTGGAAAGGCGTGTGTTCATTCTTGAGGCATATGAACTTCCAGTGGGTTGGGAAGAGATACTTCCTCGCAACCATTGCATTACAAACCATACAGCCATTGCATTACCTTGCAAACCATAAGCATTACATTGGACATTACTACAGAAATGTTGCATTACATTTAGGTTGATACTATATGGTATGCAAGCTACATATTCTCTTTTAGTCCTCCTAATATTGTCCAGTGCAGTTCTGAAGACTGCAGAATATTTGTATGCTCTGTCCTGTACAATACCTGCTTTCCTATAGTGTGAAAATATTCTCCTCCTGTCTGTGTCTGTTGCTGTATGTGAGGCTGAAGGAACCGATCAGAAATCAGAAAGAACAGCATGTTTTCCCCTGAAAATGGACAGAGGCTCTGGGAGATTTGCAGTGAGCTGACAAGCAATGCTGTAGTGGCTTGAGAAAACATGATGTGTCAGTGAGATAGGGATGTGTGTGCCCCAAAGCCTCATTTCTTATAAACACTTATAAGGTCCACATATCAAAAAAGTGTTTGATCATCCTGATATTAAGGCAAGGTGGAAATAATAAGTACAAGTGATGTGACAGATTAATTTCCTATCCTTTGCCAGTGAAATGCTGTCTATTGTATGTAAGATATTATTGCCGTGCTGACTATGATGTTGCCACTGTTTGTTTCAGAACAGATTAAGGGTAGCTTGATAGATGATAGTTTTGTGGC